GACTTGCGTCTAATCCACTCGGCCACCGACGTCGGTCAGATTTGGCTCTTCAACAGCGTTCCAAGGTCTTGTCAAAAACTGACCTTGTTCAGTTTTTACGGATCAGTTTCGGACTCCAGCCTGATTTGAATTTTCACTCCGGCGCACTCTCTGCATGTTTGGCAAAAAAAAATCCTTTTTTTGATAATTTTCAAAAAACCATTTTCTGGGCACAAGTAAGACTTGTTTGAGAACTTTGTCGTTTTTCTCTCAGTGTGGGAGAAAAACTATATGTTCCACGTGAGAATATTTGATGGAGGGCAGTTAGAAAATTATGATTGAGATTTCAAGTGAAAAAGCTGGAAATTTTTATTCTCCAGGGGAACACGTAATTTTTCGGCACAACTGATTTTTCCTCTCAGTGCAGATATTTTCATTGAATTCATTGAATTCATTGCAATTGGAATGTTGAACAATAGAGGGAGACTTCTGAAATTGAGAACATTGTTCTCGATTTGATTGAAAAAAAATGGTGATTTATTTTCAATGCAAACCCGTTAATTCGGTTTTTTTCATTTCCATTGGAAATTTCTTCCCTTCTTCTGGCTCTCCAGTGAAAGAACGCCAATTCAACCCAACAAATCCAATATCCCGGAGCACATGCGAATATTTCCGCGTTCCTTAAACTTCAACTGAAGGATTCCTGATAAAGAGAACAGATATTTTCATTGAATTTATTTATTGGAATGCTGAACAAAGGAGGCGGAGTTCTGAAATTGAGAGCATTGTTCTCAGTTCGATTGAAAAAAAAGTCAAGTGATGGAATCATCGGGAGTTCAAATGGATCTTCAATTAAAACACAATCCCTTCGTGATTTATTTTTAATGCAAATGCGCTGATTCTGATTAAATAAAGGATGTGTCAGAAGTAAGAGGATTATATTATCTCACCCGGAAATTCATTAATTGTCTCCCCTTCGGTCTGTATACATCCAACCTGGCACAAAGAGCCTACACAAGCGTGATTCGGCTTTTTTTGAATTCATATGAAAGCAGAGATCTTGACGTGAATGCAATGATGATATATACTGTTGGGGGGGAAAAGAAACAAAAGGATTTCAATTAAATTTCCAGTGATTGCAGGAAATCCGAGGCGAAAATCAAGCTCAAATGGTTTTCATCTAGCTGCAATTAGGTGAACCTCATTTGCAGAGATGGAAAAGCATCTCCAGTCCGGCGGGCGGCGGGGAAATGAGTGGAGTGGGTTTGAACGGATCAATGAAAAAGTCGTCGGGGATAAATTATAATTAAAAGAATCGAGTCTAATTGATTCTTGATAATCTGAGAAAGTAGACGTCGCGCGTGTGTCCAAATAGATCTGAATTTTTTTTTATCGTTATTTTTACATCGCTTCGACCCGGTTAGGGTATACTGCGATGATGATCAAGACTTTAAATGGTTAGATCGCACCATTCTACCCGGCCGGGATTTGAACTCGGAACCTTTCGCATGTGAGGCAACGAACTTACCCACTGCGCCAAGCCACCGGGCAAGATCTGAATTTGATGGAATTGATATGCAAGTCTGGCCGGTGACAACTTGTTTGTTAAGGCTGTTTAGCCAAAACCCCCATTATTCGCCATAATTTTAATATTGTCTCATATGTCAGGTTCATATTTGAGCCACACGTTAGTAATAACCTTAATCCTTCCATCGGGGCATCTCAGTGAGAAATTAATTTCTGAAAATCACTTCTTGTAACATTACGCTTAGGGAAGAAACGTGAGCGTGTGAACTTTGATTGAGATGTTGCATGGGTTAGACACTCAAGATATTGAAAAAAAACCACAAGCCCTTTACTTTAGACTATGGAGAATCTATCGCCGGCGAGAACAAGTAGGGGACCGGGCCATATAGGCGTGATATCTTCGATTGATTTTAGAATTCCTCTAAAAAAATTTGACCGCCATTACGAGTCGAGCGACGCGACAACACCGCACAACAGCTGATCGAGGTCGGTAAAGTCGGTGACGATAATTCAGTGCTGGAAGCACATGGACACGTATGACACACAAACATTCATCTCACTGTTACAACCCCACTACTAGCCGAAGCGTGCGATGTTGCCCGATCAAAATTCGACTGTTACCACTGCAGTCACAAGTCCTCAGTTATTCATGAATATTTTCTTTAATTATTGTTTTTGAGACCGGAAGGTACGCCATAATACTTCTAATTTGATGAGAAGAATAATTCAGTAGTGAAGCGGTAAACCGGTTTAAGTCGATTCTGACTATTGGCCAGTTTTTGACGAATATCTCGGAATCTAAAAGAGATGGAGAAATTTGTGTCTTGACCTTTTTTGTAGAGCCAATTGAGGGTTATAAAAAAGGTTATGAGAAAAATTTTGCTATCTCTCTTAGATTCCGAGATATTAATCAAAAACTGGCCAAAAGTCAAAATCGACTTAAGCCGGTTTACCGCTTCGCTACTGAATTTGTAGCATGAATGATTTATTTAGTAAATTTTAGTTTACTTTCAAGTGAGTTGTCCACTTGATAGGTTAAACATCCTTAATAATATCCGACCATTAAAAATCCTTTCTGAATGAAAAGGTGAGGGAAATATCTCCGATTTTCATGAAGTCATTCTACGAAACATGAATAAACGAATCATAATTCAGTAGCGAAGTGGTAAAACGGTATAAGTCAATTTGGACTATTGGCCAGTTTTCAATGGATATCTCGGAATCTAAGGGAGATAGAAAATTTTGAAAACATGCACCATCTTTAGAGACATTTGTCATCTTTAGAGGCCCTAGCACGCCATTTCTCGACCCGCTCTTTCATTTGAGCCCAAAAAACATTCATATCTTGTCTGACATCGCTGCTACAAACTCGGGTCTACAACTCGGGCTTTAATTGAAACCAGCGCTAACACAAATGTAATTACGAAAATTTCGCTATTTCTCTTAGATTCGGAAATATTCTTGAAAAACTCAATTGGGAGATAAGTCGACTTGAACCGTTTTACCACCAGAGATAGGCATAATCATAAATTATAATTGTCACTAATTTCATAAATACTCAATCAAATAATAGACCTTAACAATTTTTCAATTATTAAATTAGCCAACAACTAAATATTCAAACTCTGAATTACTTTACCACTCAATAATCGAATCGTAAGATTGACGATTATTTGAAGAATCTTAAATACTTCTAGGAAATTTTAAATTATTCACTTAATAGGTATTTGAAAATTTGGATTAATCAATGCAGTTATTTTAAGGAAAGTACTCTCATGTTACTGAAGTAATGATTGATGCCGATCACTGTTTACCACTTCGCTACTGAATTTTCCAAATTTTCCCGATTGAAAGTCACCCCTTCTTCTATTTTCTGTTTCAGACATCAAGTGCAGAAATCGCTGTTGATAGCTCCGAGGAGAATGCACTGTTCGCCCGAATTTCTGGTGAGTGGCTTTTAATGTCGCCAAATAAAATACCCGATTCTCGTGAATAAAGAACCCCCAGAGTCCATCAGCTCGCTCGGAATAAAAAATACTGCGTAAACAAGAGAGCAAAAAGAGCAATAATCGCTTCCGCGATTTAACCCTCTGCAGTTGCACAGCATCAAAATGCTTTCATGGCTACGTGTACAGAAGTAAAATCAATACAGAATGTGGTTTCAATCCAATATATAGTTTCCCCAGAAGTGCATTCAACCTACAATGGGAAAAATGATAGAAAATGCATCGGCAAAAAAGGGGACAAAAATCCTTTCAATATGTGAATCACGTAGAAATAAAGTGAAAATACATCGGCGAACGATTCTCACGAATATCAGCTGGCAATGGTGGACCGAGAGTCTCCGATGTAGATACAAATTTATCAGGACCATCTGGTAGTATCGATTACTCGTAGAAGTGAATTTTAAAAGCTTCCATTAATTTGTTAATGCGCTGTCGTTATTCTTTATCTGTTATTCCCACCAAAATACAATATCAATAATATGTTTCGTGCGTCGAATGTATGGATTTTCAACCATCTGTACACTGAGAAAAAAACAAGCACGTTGTCAAAAAGTCTTGTTTGGGCCAACAAAATCGCTAGTTGAAAATTGACAAAAAGAATTTGTTTGGATCGAATTTGAAAGCCTCAAACACGAATAATTGTTCTGCTTTCGACAGCAACGAAATATTCGGCTCAAGAGGCGGATAATTCACACCAGACGGTGCCTTTTCAGGATGAAAATATCTCATGAAGAGGACAATTTATCAACAAATATTTTATCCCTAAGTTACAAGATTGCTATCATATCATTGTTATTGTTTCATTTAAGGGTTCATTTGTTGTCTGTGATTATTAGACAGTCGAAACGAAAAACTACTATCCCTTGTTTCGCATAAAACAACGATTTTTCGGGAGCAAAAGACGTATGGGAGTATCGAATAACGAAGGAGTAGTGCTAGAAATGACATTTTTTGCGTGTACAGAGAATGCAATTTTTTTTTAACAACTAAATCTATTTTTGCGACAAACATTTTTCATTCCGGCGCACGCTCTGCATGTTGGGCACAAAAAAATCCTTTTTTGATAATTTTCAAAAAACTATTTTCTTGGCACAAGTAGGACTTGTTTGAGAACGTTAAACGGTAGGATAATTTTTATTAAAAATTTCTCTCCGTGTACCTGAAACACAAATTTTATATTTTGGTAATCTGAAGGGTATGATTTCAAAATCCCCCGCTCACTAATATCGTTATCCTCCCCAACTTTGCTGAAAAACCGAATAAATAGCCCTGAATATATCACGAACATTATTAAATATATTATCTGCAAAGAATAATTACCCTCGATGAAAACTCAGCCTCATTATATCGGTTACCTCAGAATGTTCATTATCGATTTGTCCCATCTCTTTGTTTTCCCCCAGATAAAAAAACTCCTCATGTCTCTAGCCCTGTTCTTTTATTCTTCCTCAATTCCATTTCCACGATTTTTCTTATTAAAAATAGAAAATGCTCCCGATGCGCAGTCGTGTGAGAACACGAAACCGCATCAGTTTCGGGTAATGATGACGTATCAACAACAAAATACACAGCCGACATTCAAACATTTGATGATAATCGAAGCGATCCAGTTATCGCTAATTAGGTTAATTTGAATTGCAGTGAGTAATGTGGAGGTATGTTTATACATGAATGAGCTTCCGTCGCAGGAGAACTTCATAACAACTCTTTTGAAAAGTACTTTATCTATTTTTAGATTTTTTTTCTTTCCGTCTCTCGGGTCTTCTTTACTCTCAAAGTCTTCTCCAACATTTTGCATAAATATCTATTCTACGTTTTAATTCCAGATGTGAATAAATTCATGAAAACTTCACCGTAAAATACGATTTTTTTTTTATTTATCCACGGAGAGAAATATTCAATAAAAATGTCGTGACTTTTCCGTAATTCCTGAGCGAAATGTGGTTGTATGAAATTTTACGGAACTGTCACGGAATTTTCCAGAATATAGATCTGAAAATGAATAATTAGTGCAAAAAAAATTTTTTTTATTGTTTGCCCGAAAACGCTTAAAATGCCAAAAAGTGTCCAGGGCCTCCAATTTTTGAGCTACGAAAGATTTTTTTTCAAACTTTTCGGAAAAATATGAGGAATAACAATTACGAGCTATTTTTTTTTCAATTCGCCTCTTACATGGCTAAATTTGCTTTTTTGTATTTTTTTACACAAATAGTGAATTTTTTTACATGATAAAACCCGAAATCAGCTGTGTAGGAGTCAAATTCCGAAAAACTGGCTCGTAATTGTTGTTCCACACATTTTTCCGAAAATTTTGAAAATAAAATCTTTTGTAGCTCAAAAATTGGAGGCCCTGGACTGTTTTTAGTATTTTAAGCATTTTCGGGTAAACGAACAATAAAAAAAATTTTGTTTGCACTAATTATTCGTTTTCAGATTTATATAATTGATCTGCAACGTATGAAAAGTCTCACTCCAATGCCCCACGACTTTTAAAACTTATAGTAGTCTCCCCTTGAATTTTCTGAGTCGACTCCGTAATCGGTGAGCGAATTGTGAGTTCCGTAATTTTTACCGAATATCTCCCGTTTATTTCACCCTTTCTGAAAAAAAAAAGAGCAATATCTCGATTCGAAAATGAGAACTCGAACACAAAATTTAACAGCCGACAAATTGGGACATATTCTCATCAATCGTATTGTTTTTGCAGTGAGAATGAATATAAATAATTAATTGAAAAAGTGAATATCGAATCTGCCAGGTGAAATAGCATTAAAAAATATTAAAAAATATTCCACTTCTCTTCGTATTTTGAATCGAAAAAAAATGCTTTCATGCTCTTGATCATGAATTGTGCCCGAACAAACAAAAAAATTAATACAATACCCGACGGGAAATCAATGACACTATTCCAAAATAATATCATCACTACAGAAATTCTATTTTTATCCTTCAACCGATGCACGTGGTTGCATTGACAAATTGAAAATAGAACACTCACAAAACCCTATAATAACCGTCCCAGCACGAGTCACAATACATGTGAAAATTTACTCGCGTGGTTTAACAACGCGTGTTCGGTTATATATGTGGCAAATGTGTATGAAAGCATACCGTCTCGGATGGCAATGGCCTCGTTAATACGTAACGGGGCACATTAGTCACGTAGCTTTGAACCCAAACACCGATGCATTCAACTATCCATAGATTATCATCACTTAATATAACAAGATCTATGCGCGCGCTCTCGCGCGCGCCGATCTATTCATTTGTTGAAATGAAGAAATGGAATTCATTGAATTTCATTTTCTCAGGAATACCTTATAAATATTGATAATGAATCAAAGAGAATTCGACTAATGATTGAAGTGAATAGCGCAGTAGAGTCAAAGAATCTATAAAGAATTTTTCATCTTAAAATAATTATCTTCAATTTTTTAAAATAATCGGTCTTCATAAAAGGACAGAATTTATTAATTTTACCGATGATATATATACATGGGAAATATATATATTATATATATAATGTACGTATCTCTCTATATAATAAAAAAATAAGGGCAAAATTTAAGACAATTCAGGCGACGCCAAAATTCAGGCGACGCCTAAAGGTGTGGGG